TGTGACCGGCATAGAAACCACAAAATAGTGGTCTCCATGGTAGAGTTTACGTCCAGATCAGCTCAACGAAAATATCGAAGACTTTACTCTTATCTGGTTAGATCAAAATATAGATGATTCAGTCGGCAGTAAACTTACGCAATCATTATTATGTGAACTAAATGAATATGTTCGATTTTATACAGACATTCATTTGTGTATTGATTATATCAAAACGATTATTGATGAAAAAGTTTTTCTAATTGTTTCTGGTTCATTAGCAAAAGACATTCTTTCAGAAGTACATTTATTATCAACAATAAGTTCCGTATTTATATTTTGTACGAATCGACAACGATACATACATCTAGGTAGCCAATATTCTAAAATTCGAGCAATATGTGCCGATCAACAATCATTGGTAGATGCCATAAAAAAATCTGCTCGGATAGTCACACGCCATACCATGGCTTTTGTTATGTTTGATGATAAACAGCAACAAAAAACAGCTCAAGTAGTATCGAAACGTGCTACTTCATTTCTTTGGTATCAAATATTTATTGATGTTTTAAAGAAATTACCACAAATGGATCAAGCGAAAAAAGATATGCTTGATAAATGTGAAGATTATTATCGTTTTAATACACGTGAACTAATCAAAATTGAACAATTTCGTACAAATTACACGATTCATGAAGCTGTTCGATGGTTTACATTAGATTCATTTGTTTATAGTCTTCTTAACCGGGCATTAAGAACGGAAAATATCAGTAATTTATATACAGTAAAACCTGTCTAATATGAACACTGTTGGGATCAGTAGAAAGCGTTCAGTATAATGGAGTGTTCATAAAGGAGGGGGATAAGCAAATATTGATTACAAGCGTAGTTTAATCATTTATTGATGGCGTTTAAATAGATTTTGTTATTTTTTATGATTATATAAGTTTTAAGACTACATTTTTTAAATAGACTAGTTTAAGTACGATGTACAATTCCTGACTGAATAGGTTTTAAAAAATTGGGAATAGATTTTTGCTTCACAATGTTTGTTACAACACCAGTTGATAATTTAAATTTATCACAATTCACGATATGATGAACCACATTCATTCTCTTTAATTAATTTAATTTTTTCTTCAAGAATAAGATCATGTCGAGATGACATATCTTAAAGACAAAGGCAGAAAATATATCTAAAGAAACAATGATATTAGTAACAGTGGTCTGATTATTTTTTTTCTTATTGTCTCTCTTCGTACGTATTCATTGAATTAAGTTTCATAACCAATCAGTTCATTGGTTTTCACCTATATCGCTCCAATAGTATTATTTCTTTAAGTGGCGACACATTTAGAGTTCATATTGATAAGGTTAATATATACAGACGGGACCGAAAAAATGCGTTCACATTCAGAATCACGAAATGTTCATAAAGGAGGGAGGCAAAACAAGCAAAATTCGCGCGGTGGGACCGGAGAGTGTTCAGTTTAACAGATTGTTCATAAAGGAGGGGTGTTCACTAATAGAGGTTTTACTGTATATTTCGATTTTTTTATCATAGACTTATGTAAACAATTGGAATATGAAATGATGTTTACAAATGAATTTAATGAATTAAAAGAAAATATTGGTAATTCAATAGCTACAAATGGCTTTTTATCAACATCTCGCCTCTTAACAGTTGTCATGCAATTTATATTAGGAGCTACAGATACCGACGAATTAAAAGTAGTTCTATTTGAAATAGAAGTCAATTGTCAAAATGAAAGAATTATTTTTGCTGATATTGATAAATACATTCAATTACAAGGTGAACAAGAGGTTCTTTTTTTCTTTGGGAACTGTTTCTCGCATTGAAACAATTGAATTCGAATCGATACTGAATATATGGAAAGTAAAAATAATAGCAACAGATGAATTATCGAATGTAATAGAAGAAGCTTTAAATTTAACAATAAGAACAGAACATAGAAGTCCTCCTATTCTATTTGGTAATTTACTCATGCAAGAATTTAACCATTTTGATATAGCTGAACAATTTTTTCAAATGTTATTAAAAACATTACCACAAAATCATGAAGACATTTCTAATGTTTATCATGCTATAAGTGATATCTGTCGTCGAAAAGAAGAATTTCGAATAGCATTGGATATGGCTTTGAAAGCTTATAACTTACGACGAAAAGTTTCAGCTCATAATCGCATAGATCTAAATGAATCGCTGAATACGATAGCTAGCATTTACTTGCAAACTGGGAAATATGATCGTGCTAGAGAATATTATCAAAAATCACTAATTCTTTGCGATAAAAATTGTCTAAATGATCATTTGCTTAAAGTAATAGCATTGCAAGGACTTTGAGAAGTTTATAAAGTAAAGAAAAAATTTGATAAAAGTTTTTATTATTTTATGGAAGCATATGAAACTGCTCAACGAATGGAACATTTACCTGAAATGACAACTAGTATGGGTGCTATTGGCCTATTGTATGAAAATCAAATGGACTATGATACTGCACTGAATTATTATTATGAGCAGTATAACATTCATGAAAAAGCATTAGCATTAGAGCAAAACTTTATTACGGAACAATATCTTTTCATTGATCTAATGCAAATTGTTGAATCTTATAAGAACAAAGGTGATTTAAAAATGGCTTTTAAATTTTGCCAATATAAATTAGCTTAACAGAAAGGTACACTTACAGAAAACCATCCAAGAATTGGTTATACATTGAAAATGATTGGAGATATTTATTTTTATTGTGGAAAAGTTGACAAAGTACTTGAATATTATTTACAAGCCTTGGAAGTTTTTAAACATTCTCAAATTTCTGAGCAGTTCGCAATAGTGATATGTCTAAGATTCATCGGTGCTCTGATGTTAGATATTGAAAAGAAAATATATTCATCAGATGATCCTGATTTAGCAGATTCATATAAAAGTATTGGAGATATTTATTGTAAAACAAAAAACTATCAAAAGTCTATAGATTACTATTCTAAAGCGTTGGAAACATATCGAAAAAAAGGCGATTACGATAATGTTCGTATTTTGCAAAATGATATTATGAATTTGAAAAGAAAGATGACTCATCAAGAGTCTGATGCAGATCATGATTTACCTCTCATATCTCAAGACATACATACAAATGAAACACTACCACAAAACGTTGACCATCGTACACTATTCCATTCATTCTGTCACATTTGTTGAGATCCATGCCATTATAATAAAACATATTTGTGTCTTCAATTTTCCAAGTAAAAGGTCAAACATTTCTAAAGTTTTCTAGAAATTCCTGTGAAGTAACATATAGGCTGGTTCAGTGGCTGATCCATGGGAAGTGAAGTGCGATGGGTACCGCCGCATCCTCGTTTAATGAAAAATATTCATTTCCCCCTAGCACAAATAACTTTCATTGGCTTTCCGCAGTCACCTTGAAAAAAGTTGGTTCTCTGTACCACACCTTATGCAGGGTAACTAGACAATTCTGATTGCTATTGAAAGGAAACGATATCAAAAGTTCTTTTTTTCTTTTTTATCTTTTGTAAGTAGAGTATGGATGTAGGTGCTGGTGAAGTAAAGATCTTCAGACTCTACGCACGCACACATCCCACCATCCATCCAGAGAAGCTTTGCACGTACGAGAAGAAAAGAAAATACCCATTGAAAGATACGTATGGTTTACTTATCCATGTGTAATAATTAACAAGTATTATGTTTAAGTGAGAATGATCAAAAGATTTTTTCATGCTATTATCTCTCCCAATGATAATCTCAGTAGCCAGTTTATACTGTACAATATCTTGCTCAACTAGTTTGTCTGAAATTTTTGAAAACATATTTAAAAGCAGCAAAGTTCGTCAGTGTTTATCACATAGGACACCTTCATGATATATATATTTCTCATTGGTAAAAAAAAAAAGAAATTTATTTTTCAGAAATAAATGATTTATTGACTAAGA